ATTTTTACCAAACCCTAGGTTCTAACAAAAATCCCACAAATTTTCTCTAGTTCCATGTTAGATCTACCCATAAGCCATGTATTTAACTCAAGAATTGATAGGAATCACTTACCTTGTAATGTTGATGAAAATCTCTCACAAAATGCTCTCAAATTCGTCCAAGACCAAGTGGAAAATGAGAGAAAAGAGACTAAGTTCCGTAATAAATTCAAGTCTGCCCAAGTCCCTCTCCTTCGCTATCGCGAAAAAAGGCCTCTCGATCGCGAAGAGTAATTGCCCAACTGCCCAAATTCTCCCTACGTGTTCGCGATCACAAGGACGCGATCGCGATGAACCAACTTCCCTACCTTCCGCGTTCGCGATGACACAGTCGCGTTCGTGTAAGCTATCTACCCTTTAGCCTATCCCACTCCCAACCTTCTTCGCATTTGTGATCAGGCCTATGCGTTTGCGAAGGAGGACCAGGTCCTTCACCGCATTCGCGTTCACGAAGAATGAAGTCCAGGGCCCTTCACCAGCCTTCTTCGCGATCGCGAGACAACCATCATGATCGCCAAGCAGACCGGTACACCAGCAATTTCAGCCAAGTTCAATCATGCTCCGGGTGGTCCGAAACATAACCGAGCCACCCAGGACTCCGTCCAAATGCACCAGCAAGTCCATAAATATATTGCTGACTTACTCAAAGCCTCGTAACATATGAGACAACACCGGAATCAAGAATCGCACCTCAAAACCTCATTAATCAACTTCTAAGCTTCAAACTCATTTCAACCAACTCCGAATGCGAAGAAACATACTTAGACAACTCGGAATGACGCCAAATTTTACGCACAAGTCATAAATCATAACATGAATCTATTCCAAGGCTCTGAATCCCAAACGAACATCGATAACACTAAAATTCACTTCAAGTCAAACTTAGAAAAATTCTAAAACCTTCAAAGTGCCAACTTCAACAATAAGGCTGAAACGCTCTTGGTCTGCCAAAACTCGATCTAAACATATGCCTAAGTCAAAAATCATCATACGAACCTATTGAAACCTTCAAATTTCAATTCCGAGTTCATTTAATAAAAATACTGACTCAAGTCAAACTTGGCCACCTTATGCCACTATTATGGAATTAAGTATTCTGAATTCAACCCGAACCCTTCCAAAATCAAATCAACCATCATCTCTGGTCATAATACAGTAAAAGCACATATAGAAAGTCTTGAATAGGGGAACGGAGATCTATAAAGTAAAACGACCGGTCAGGTCGTTACACCCATCCAAACATTCCTACATGTTCAAGTACCCTATATGGACTTGTCCAAATGCTAAAAAATGGAGGGTAATAATATAAAAGTCAAACTTGAATCAAACTTATAAACTCTTAAGTTGTTCGATATATCAACTTTCGACAAATGGCGTTACTTCTTGAGTCATCCAAAACCCAATTCGAATATACCCTGTAAGTCCAAAATCATCATACAAACCTACCAGAATCATAAAATTCTCGATTCCAAATTTGTTTACCAAATGGTCAAACCTTGGTTAACTCTTTCAACTTAAGACTTTAAAACATGAACTAAGTATTTTAATTCACTCTCGAACCTCTCGGGATCCGAAACAACCATACATAAAAGTCATAGAACATCATACGAACCTACTCGAGGTCCCAAATCATAGAACGAAATGCTATAACTCTAAACGACCAGGTTGATCGTTAGAACTAGCTTTATTTTCAATTCATTAGTACGAATAATTATTATAAAAAAAATACCTTCTAAGCTAATATATCTTTTGTTATTTAAAAAGTGCAACAAATCACAAATTTCATATTACATTCACATGAGCTGGTAAAAAAGTTAAATTCATAAATAAAACTTTTATTTATTATTTTAAGTTAAGATATTATTTATTAAAAATATAGTCAAGATAACGATTATGCTTTATGATATTAGTTACCAATTCATAATTATTTAATACTTTTATTTTAAAGGAAAATAAGTACTTTACGTACTTAGTTATACATGATATCTAATTTTTTAATATATACATGTATTTATCACCCATTAAGTTTGCTTACTTTGTATCTTACTAGTTTTTTTTTAATTATTAGTTCAAATATTTGTTATAAAAGATATATTTTAAGCTCATATATCTAACTTTATTATATTCACAGGAGTTGGTAAAAAAGTAAATTTCGTTATTAAAAAAATTTGTTAGTTAGTCTAAGTTATAATATTATTTATTCGACAGAAATCAATTATTTTTTATAATATAATTTACCAATTTATAATTATTTAATATACTTTTACAAAAAATATTTATTTTAAATACTCATAATAAATTAATATTTAATATTTATTATCTGCTAAATATTTGATACACAATAAAACTTATTTACATGTTAATCTAAATTTTGTTTATTTAACTATGTAATTATATTTGTCCAACCAAACATGAGAAAAATTATGGTATAATTACGTTATGATAAAACGGGTCATTATAATTGCTATATTGTGTAATTACCTAGGTGTATAATTACTACCCTGGTAAATATAATTATACATGAATTTCCAAACATACACTAAACAAATTCATAACTTAAACAGTGACATTAAAGGATTTTAAGATCCTATTATTGGTGCAAATCCCCCTTGAGTGACTGAAATGTGTTCCGATTCCGTCAAACATATTGAAAAAGCATTATGTGAAAAAGCAGGAAATATGTTAACTTTTTAGAGGAAGAAAAACAAACAGGAAACAGGTTTGGCTTGGTGAACAAGTAGCTAGTGTGATGGTTTCCACTTTCCAAATTGGCTAATATGTTTAACTTTTTATAGGATTCTGGGCATTTTGCTGTAGCGTAAAAAGGAAGGGTATGGTTTAAAAGGTATAGCCTTTGATTTATTTATTTTTTATTTTTTTATTGCTTCCTCTTACTAGTACATTAGTTTGAGAAATTTTATTTCAGTGAAATCCTATAATTTATGTGATGATACCGATTTGTCCTCTTGAGGCGAGAGTTTTTCGGAAACAGTTTCTCTACCCTTCGGGGCAGGGGTAAGGTCTGCGTACACACTATTCTTCCCAGACCCCGCTAGTGGAGTTTCACTGGGTCGTTGTTGTTGGTGTTGTTGTTGTTTCATATGCCATCTCATATTTACGTGAGGCTTTCTATTGGTTGATGCCATTAGTGGTTTGTGTATTATTGCCGCTCCGAGACAGGAACTGTGAATCTTGCACAATTTTTTATTCTTATATTCTTCAGAAGTACAGAACGCAATAATGCTGCGCCAACTAATTTAGTAAAATTTACATTCGAATGATTGAACTCATATTGTATCTCTTAATTAACTAGTACTACTAAACTGGTCGTCTCAAAAGCAATTTCTGAAATGTGATTTCATATATCCACAATACCACCACAATTGCCTTTTTCTTAAGCTAATCTAGCTAGCCATTAACGGGTTCGCTGAGTTTAACAATCATACATGCATAACCCCTAAAATACTACTGATTATTACTCCATTTGTCCCAATTTATGTGATACTTTTTACTATTACTTAGTACTGAAAAGAACAATATATTCTATATTTAGTTATTATTTAACGTTATACTTTTCACTTTACCTTTAATGTGAAAATTTATAGTCATAATCATTGCTATGACTTAAAGTTTCAAAAAGTCTTTCGTTCATTTTACGCTCTGTTCCTAAGCAAACACCATCACAAAATTTGGGATGGAGGGATACTTAATTATAAATACCACTAGAATTTTCTAAGATAATGTTTTCCAGGGAACTCGTGTGGCTAGCACCGAAATTCTACATAAAAGATAATCTTAGTTTGTAATATTTTATATTACATAGAACACACAAACACGGGGGGAGGAATCATAGTAATGTGTGCGGAAGTTAAGAATCCGACGTGCCATGTTAGCTCCTTAATCAACAGCTGAGATTCCATGAGGGCTTGGACCCACCCCCACCCTGTCAACGTCATGCCTTACCTCTACAAATCAACTACTATTTGCTTTCCCTCGACCTATTTATTGGAAGTGAAGCAGCAAAGCGATTCAAAATTTTAACCTAATGGATTTGACTCAAATCTAATATGAATTGAAATTTTAGTTAATTTTCACTTTATTATTCTCGGCATAAGAAATACGGATGACCCGTTGCTAAAGGGTTGGATCCACCCTTGAGTGAAGGTCTCTTACCAACTAAGAGAATGCTAATTTCTGCCGCTCTTTACACAATTGCTCTGAAATTTTATTCCTACCAAAAATGAGGAATCAAAAGCGCAAGTTGGAATTAGTTTAATATGGTGTTATAATCATATATGGTGGCAGGGAAGCTTATTACTGCTAACATGTGACACTCATCTTTACTAACTCTGCCTAGCCAAAAAGATAAGATGGTGCTATTCCAAATGTGCAGACCTGCAGACACAAGTGGGATTCACTGAATAACATAATACGCGTCTGCCCTTCCACATGAACCTGACATACCAAACCCCAACTGCATGACTGGCTCAGGTATACTTTTAGGGGCCATTTGGTCACCAGGATAGAAGGGGAGACTTGACATAACGGGTAAAGTTGCTGCCATGTGACCAAGAGGTCACGGGTTCGAGCTGTGAAAACAATCTCTTGCAGAAATGCATGCAGGGTAAGGCTGCGTACGATAGGCTCTTGTGGTCCGGCCCTTCTCCGGACCCGCGCATAGCAGGAGCTCCGGGCTGCCCTTTTTTTGGTTACCGGGATAAGGATATTAATCCCGATAAAAATTTTGGAACTATAGTTATCCCATATTTAGTTGTGGGTATTAGCTAATACCAGTATAGCTTCATACCAAAATGGTGGTATTACTTATCCAATATAGGAGGTGGGCTAAATAATCTCATAGGGTATCCCGGAACTGAACCAACAGCCCATAGTTCTTTCAACCTTTCACAAAACAGGAGGTTTCTACATATGCACTTGTACAAGGGTCAAAGACAATTAGAGAATATCAAAATGTCTCACTTTCATTTAATGGAAGCTACCTGAATAAGATAAAAAACACGAGAGCATAAAACTAGTTCGATACGACACAAGTGCCACAAAAATATTTTCTCAATCCTTCTCCTGAACTTTCTGATAACACAGTGAGACGCCTCTAGCCGTTACAAGCTCTTTCGTATACATTTGATGGAAAATAAGTGGCTAATCAGCTCATTTACATGTCTAGCATTCAAGAATAAAATGCCTATGTAATGAGGCATACAGAAAATTGGTAGCTTCCCTTCCCAAAACATACTAACTGCCAAACCACATAACTTGAGATGTAATTTAAAGGAACCAATTAAGGCTAATCTTTCCAAGCCAAAAGAGAAGAGGGAACTGAGCTAGGGCAATAAACAGTAGGAGATAATGATGCCTACTTGAATCATACGTCCTCACCTCTGCAAAGAGAACTCTTTTCATCGTCTTCACCAAAAATATTCCCATGCACAAGCATGTCCATGGCATCAAAAAGTAGTAAGAATAGTTCCATACAATTGTTCCCAAAAGAGCTATGGACAATCCTGTAAAAGCGTATCCTGCATATGAAACAATGTCAAGGAGAGGAGCCTCTCCACTACCCAGTGAGAACAATGTCATCTTCAGCAACGAAACTTGCAAAAACCAGCCAACCAACCCCTTTATAAACAGCCAACTGAGAGCTTCTGGGCTAAACCTGGCAAGATATGACAAGATTCAGAATTATACAAACAAAAAGGGATATAGTGTAGCAGCACAAGATAATGCAAGAAAGATAATAGTTGCAATGTAGAACAATGAAAACAAAACAAGGGACTTACACGTGGTAGAATAAGACTATACCAACCATACCTAGAAGTCAAGGAATCATCACAAATCATATCTGACATGATTGATGTACAGAAAACTACTCCTTTGTCCCAAACTATCTTATTTTCTGTTTTGAGGTGTTCCAAAATTCTGTCTATTTTTCCAAGAGAACATTCTTTTATACACTATCTAATAGTAGTACCCTTTACAACTCGGTATTTAGAAGTTATCACATGCCTTTTTTGCTATTTATAATGGTGGTGTCCTGGCCAGCTTGCACACAGCTACCTCCCACCAGCACAAAGTATCATGTAACTCTGGCCGTGAAGGCTTTGGTAGACAGAAAAAATTCATCTAGTATTTTTGCCTTTGCTGAGAATGAAGGACATAACCCGAAGGAGATAACCCAAAGGAGTATTAGCACAAAAGGAAATCATCTGGTGCAGCAGATGGCTTCATGCAAATAACTGAATTAGGTATTGGTGCTGAAAACGATATAAAATTCCACACACTGCATGTTCAAGTATAAATGTCATGGCATTTGGCGCTTCAAACTAAAATGAGGTGAGCAACAATTAACCAAATTCAACGCAAATATTTGATTGGTAACAAGTCATGTACTCATCATTATTACTCATCACCACATTCAAAGCCTAAAGGTAGCTTGAGGAAGCGATAAGCTTACCTTCCCTGCAAACCCAGTGATAAGCCAGCAAGAACAACATAGGTTCCGAAGGCCATAAACGGAATGTACAAATCCGGAGCATTTATGTCAAAGATAGGGGGCTTATAGGATAGCCTGCCACCAACTGGCTCAGTGATTCTTGTCCAATGACCCTACAGACAGTTGAGGAGGTTACTATTTGGGAACATAATGCAATGATGATACTCCAATGAGATAAATGCAAATAAAACCTTACTCTGTGTAGGAAAGGGAAAAGAACTACTTTCAGTTTGTTTCTCACATACTGATCATTCACTTGGAAGTAGTACTGGGGATCCGAAAAGTACCTACTTATCTGTTTCCATAAAAAGGAATTGCAAGTTAGAGCTTTGTTTCTACCAGCAAAGCTACACAACTCCAATCAGTATCATCCAATAATAAAATGTTCGGACGGTATGGTAGTGTTTTGGACACTAAAAATGTCGAAATTATGCAGTTAGGAATACTATCGCGGAAAGTATCTCTAATGTGTTGCACAATCTCACCACTCCAAAACATCATTCAAGAGGTGCATACAGTCAATGTGATTCCATGAAATACGTGGATTAATTTTTCTCAACTTGCAATAACAATAAAGCAAAATATTGGAGGCAGATAGCACTGGTGACAATGTAAAGGTGCATGCAACAGAAGCAGGCGAATGCTTCACTAAGAATAAAAAATTATCATTTAGAGTTTATTCAGGTGAGAAGTATTCACTGAAATCCTGACGATTTCAGAAATTAGCTTTTAGCACCTCAAATAAACAGATTGCAAAAACTGCAAAACATTTGTGGCTCGACGTGATACAGAAGAATTTCTGGTGCACATGAGACTTCTCCTCGCTGAAACAGTTTTGAAAAAATTACAAGAGAAACATTTCTGAAAAAATTAATTCTAAGATGCTGTCACTAATCAAAAGGATGGCAATTAAATTTATCTAGGTACTGATGGTTTCCTCTTTCTTTCTTTTATTTATTTTGCTAGTTTCTGCATAACTATTTAAATTGTCTCAATCATAAAACAATTCTAATTCCATAACTCATTGTGACTGATATATTTATCAATTCTGAAAAAAGTTTCTACATCATTTGCTGTGTGTGGGCAAATCTTTTTCCCAGTGCAGACTGCCTTAGCAGCGTAGCTCCCAACTGCAGCTAGACCAAATTGCCTGTACAGTCTCCCCCTTCTCCAGAGTCCCAACCTCACTTCCTTCAGTATTTTTTCATCCTGTGCTCCTTCTCTACTCACCTTCTCCTTCCTAACTCAGCCGTCAAGGTATTTTCCTGGGTCAATTAAACTGTAATTTGCTGCATTAAATATAATCACACAGAATTATGTTACTTTATTTACAATGGTGGTTGCCGAGTCATTTGCGCAGCTCCTTGACTAATCCCCAGGTACCTGCTACCTCCCTCATATACAAGTATCGGGTAACTCTGCCGCCAAGGCTTAGGCATAATGGAAGAATTCATCTTGGACCCTATTAGGACACAAATCTTGATTCCTAAGGTTGATTCCAACTCTTAGACTGCTAGCCCACCTCCTTAGGGATCACAAAGAGACTCAAGTCTACCACCACCATTTTCTATGATTGCCCTTGTTAACAATAGTCATTACTGAAAATCCAGTACACACACTTCACATCAAAACATTTAAGAGTATTTAAACGTCAAAGGAGAGGCAAACGTCACTGCTGTAAGGCTGAATCAGAAGATGGTGTAAGGATTTTTCAGTTTTATTATTACTGGGTCCATCTCCTTTAACTAGGGGTGTGCATTCGATTTATCGATTCGATTTTGACCCTTATCAATAATTACTTATCGATTATCGATTTGTACATACGCTTATCGTTATCGTTTCAATAAGGTTTCGATTTTTTCGATTTCGATTTATCGATTTTGGGGGCTTATCGATTCGGTTATCGATTACACCAATAAAAAAATTTGCGGGATTCCACGGAAAGTATATCGCTATAAACGCGCCTAACTAATATGGACAAAAAGAAGCTAAAATAAGACGAACACCATTTATAATATAAAAATTGTATCAACAAGCACATGCAACAAAACTAAAGTAAGGGATCAAATGTATGCCACCAACACTCCAACGGTATAAAAAAAATAAACCAAAACAAAACACATCATCACGGCTAATTCTGTTTTTCATTAATTTGAACTTCATTCCCTTGATCTTTAAATATGATCATTCCTTAAATGTGATAGAGGAAATAATAGGGTAAGGAACTTAGGGTAAAGGAAAGGGTATAGATTAGGGAAAATAATATTGTATAGCCGTTTTCAAAATAATAGCGGAATATATATACATTCTGTATGTTATATTAATCTACACAAATAGGTAATTACTCATTTACAAGTGTCTACAGTCTAGGGGTGTGTATTCGATTTATCGATTCGATTTTGACCCTTATCAATAATTACTTATCGATTATATGCTTATCGTTATCGTTTCAATAAGGTTTCGATTTTTTCGATTTCGATTTCGATAACAAATAATCGATTCGATTTATCGATAAACCAATTTGAATGCACACCCCTACACTTGAATACCTTTCCCTTACTTTGTATCCATTTCTCAATTTGTATGTGTTATTCTTATTCTTATTTGGCTGAATACATAGAGTCCTCTTAACTTGTCACGACTTTTCATCTAGATATCTTAATAATTACTTATTCTTGCATCTCCCGAGCCTTTACCAAATTCATGTTTCACTGGGGAAAAAGTTTTAAAGAGCAATGACGAAACAAGCGAAACTCAAAATAAGTGTCCCTTATAAAATAACAAAAACAAAATCATTAGGAGACAACCTCACTTCCAACGATTTAAAAAAAAAAAAAAAGAAACAATCCAGTGCACGAAGCATTTCATATTATATTCTCGCAAGGCCCGAAAACGGCTGCACTTTGAGGGGTGTGATGTAGGCAATCTACCATGATACAAGTATTAATGACTGATTCAATGACTCGAACTTGTGACCTATAGGTCACACGTAGACAATTTTACCGTTGCTCCAAAGCTTCCTTCTCTCACCTCCATGAGTCCACTATAACTTAACATATTTCATATACACAAATTTGCTATCTGTAGGTTGTTTCCTATTTTTCATAAATTAATGTTATCAACAATATTACAATGAGAACCAAAAATGAAAATTGTAAAGTAAGTGACCATATGTCGCTTTATTTTATTGTATTATGAAACCCTGCATCCTTTTCCAAAGAATGATATCCAGTACCACATTCTCCTTTTTCATATCTTGTTTTACTTTACACAAAAAGACAAGAAAAGTAAAGGTGTAAAAATGATCAGAACTAAAGTTGATAGCGACACAGAAATTCCCACCTAAGTCTAGTAACACTCAGATGCCAGTCACTTGTTTTTCAATAAAAGTTTGTCTTATCATGTCAGCAAAATATAGTGGGATGATAATGTCGTACACTTAATCTATAGCCTAACTTTTAGCTTGTTTCAATTATAGCCACTCGACTACCTTTCCTTTACTTTGTACCCATTTCTCAATTTTGTATGTATTATTCTTATTCGGCTGAATACATAGAGAGCCCTCTTAGCTTGTCAGTTTAATATCTGATTAGTGTTAGAACCCGCGCGATGCGCGGATAATTTGACAGAATATTAATTTTATAAAATTATGATCTAATATATCATATTAATTTAATAAATAATAGTTACTATTTTATTATTTAATATAGTATACATAAATATAATAAAATCTATACAAAATCAAAGGATACAAAGCATTATAGTAGTCAAATAAATTATTTATTCCTTGTTTATTATTTATTAAATTAGCAAGTACTTAGTACTATACGTTTACTAATGTGAATTTTTATTAAATTTGTCAATTGCCTTAACATTTTGATACTACTGCTCTTCTAGTAGAACATACGTATATCTTTTCTTATTCTGGAAATATATATTTTTATACTTATGTTATACTGTTTAAAATTCTTCAATTATCTAAATTTATCAATAATTTTCCTGAGTATTATTTATTTATATTTTGTTTATTAATTAATTCAAAATATAATATTATAAAATTATCTTTATGCAACCCTTTTCGTACATTCATTTCTACTATAACATTTGATTAGTTTTATTATTTTATATTTACTGAAAATTTAAATAATATCATTTTTTTACTAAATTATAATTTTGAATTCATCAAAAGTATAAAGAGATAAGCCTTTTATTATTTTTTATAAAAAACGTACTAATATTTTTAAAAATTAATGAAATGTGTTTTATATATAATATATTATCTTATGTATAATATCCTAATAGTTTCTTTATATTTTTGTATTTTTCATTATGAAATTATGAGTTCTATTTATTAAATAAATTTTCCTAGATGAGAAATTTAATTGGTATATGTACTTTTACGATATCATTTGATTTGTTTATTTTTTAGTATTCTTCATTTATGACTATTTGTTTATTATGATTTTAGTTATGTGTATATATACGGCTTTCTCATAATAATTTTAATTTTATATATATATATATATATATATATATATATATATATATATATATATATATATATATATATATATATTTGTTTCTTGGTTATCTAATTGTATTATCCATTACTTAATATTGTTAAATTGACATATGAATTATTAATAAATTACCAATTTAGTATAATAACTACTCCCATATATATA